TATATCATTAAAACAACAAGTACAGAAACTAGGAAAGAATATTGAAGGCTGTAAGAGAGAAAAAACAAATAACATACAAAGGTAAACCCATCAAAATCACAGCAGACTTCTCAACAGAAACATTAAAAGCAAGAAGATTGGGGTGAGATCTTCCGGTCACTGAATGAAAATAACTTCAACCCCAGGATACTCTACCCAGCAAAACTATCATTCAAAATAGATGGAGCAATAAAAGTCTTCCATGATAAGCAGAAACTAAAACAATATGTGACCACAAAGCCACCACTACAAAAGATTCTTCAAGGGATTCTGCACACAGAAAGTGAAACCCAACATAACCATGAAAGGGCAGGCAGCACCAAACTACAGGAAAAGAAAAAGCAAGAAAGTAGAGAGTAACCTCAACTTAGGTACACACAATCAAACCTTCAAACAACTAAGACAACTAAATGACAGGAATCACCACATACCTATCAGTACTAACACTTAATGTTAATGGACTTAATTCCCCCATCAAAAGACACCATTTGACAAAATGGATTAAAAAGGAAGATCCGACAATTTGCTGCTTACAGAAGACCCATCTCACTGACAGAAATAAGTATAGGCTTAGGATGAAAGGCTGGAAGAAGATTTACCAAGCCAATGGCCCCCGAAAACAGGCAGGAGTAGCAATACTTATCTCTGACAAAGTAGACTTCAAACCTACATTGATCAAACAAGATAAAGAAGGACATTCCATACTAATAAAAGGGGAAATAGACCAAAAGGAAATAACAATTATCAACCTATATGCACCCAATGTCAACACACCAATTTCATCAAACATACCCTGAAAGACCTAAAAGCATATATTAACTCCAACACAGTGGTTGTGGGAGACTTTAACACCCCATTATCATCAATAGATAGGTCATCCAAACAAAAAATCAATAAAGAAATCCTAGATCTAAAATATACAATAGATCAAATGGACCTAGTTGATGTCTACAGAACATTTCATCCAACTTCTACACAATATACATTCTTCTCAGCAGCCCATGGAACCTTCTCCAAAATAGATCATATCCTAGGGCACAAAGCAAGCCTCAGCAAATATAAGAAAAAAGAAATTATACCATGCATACTATCTGATCACAATGCAATAAAACTAGAACTCAACAACAAAAGTAAAGACAAAAAACATGCAAACAGCTGGAAACTGAATAACTCATTACTTAATGAACAATGGGTCATTGATGAAATAAAAGAGGAAATTAAAAAGTTCCTGGAAGTCAATGAAAATGAAAACACAACCTACCGAACCTATGGGACACAGCAAAGGCAGTCCTGAGAGGAAAGTTTATAGCCATGAGTGCATATATTAAAAAGACTGAAAGATCCCAAATCAATGACCTAATGATACATCTCAAACTCCTAGAAAAACAAGAACAAGCAAATCCCAAAACAAATAGGGGAGAAATAATAAAAATAAGAGCTGAAATCAATGAAATAGAAACCAAAAAAAAACAAAGAATTAATGAAACAAAAAGTTGGTTCTTTGAAAAAATAAACAAGATCGACAGACCCCTGGCAAACCTGACTAAAATGAGGAGAGAAAAAACCCAAATTAGTAGAATCAGGAATGCAAAAGGGGAGATAACAACAAACACCATGGAAGTCCAGGAAATCATCAGAGACTACTTTGAGAACCTATATTCAAATAAATTTGAAAATCTTAAAGAAATGGACAGATTTCTAGATACATATGATCATCCAAAACTGAACCAAGAGGATATTAATCACCTGAATAGATCTATAACACAAAATGAAATTGAAGCAGCAATCAAGAGTCTCCCCAAAAAGAAAAGTCCAGGACCTGATGGATTCTCTGCTGAATTCTATCAGACCTTTAAAGAACTGATACCAACCCTCCTTAAACTGTTCCATGAAATAGAAAGGGAAGGAAAACTGCCAAACACATTTTATGAAGCCAGTATTACACTTATCCCAAAACCAGGCAAAGACACCTCCAAAAAGGAGAACTATAGGCCAATCTCCTTAATGAACATTGATGCAAAAATCCTCAACAAAATAATGGCAAACCGAATTCAACAACACATCAAAAAGATCATTCACCACGACCAAGTAGGCTTCATCCCAGGAATGCAGGGGTGGTTCAACATACGAAAATCAATAAACGTAATAAACCACATTAACAGAAGCAAAGACAAAAACCACTTGATCATCTCAATAGATGCAGAAAAAGCCTTTGATAAGATCCAACACCATTTCATGATAAAAGCTCTAAGAAAACTAGGAATAGAAGGAAAGTACCTCAACATTATAAAAGCTATATATGACAAACCTATAGCCAGCATTATACTTAACAGAGAAAAACTGAAACCATTCCCTGTAAAATCAGGAACTAGCCAAGGATGCCCACTATCTCCACTCCTATTCAACATAGTACTGGAATTCCTAGCCAGAGCAATTAGGCAAGAAGAAGGAATAAAAGGAATACAAATAGGTAAAGAAACTGTCAAAATATCCCTATTTGCAGACGACATGATCCTATACCTTAAAGACCCAAAAAACTCTACTCAAAAGCTCCTAGACACCATCAATAGCTATAGCAAGGCAGCAGGATATAAAATCAACATAGAAAAATCATTAGCATTTCTATACACTAACAAACTAAGAAAGAATATATGAAAAGAATTTCATTTACAATAGCCTCAAAAAAAATCAAATACCTAGGTGTAAACCTAACAAAGGATGTGAACGACCTCTACAAGGAAAACTATACACTTCTGAAGAAAGAGACTGAGGAAAACTATAGAAAGTGGAGAGATCTCCCATGCTCATGGATTGGTAGAATCAACATAGTAAAAATGTCTATACTCCCAAAAGTAATCTACATGTTTAATGCAATTCCAATCAAAATTCCAACGACATTCATTAAAGAGATTGAAAAATCTACCATTAAATTTATATGGAAATACAAGAGGCCATGAATAGCCAAGGCAATACTTAGTCAAAAGAACAATGCTGGAGGTATCACATACCTGACTTCAAACTATATTACAAAGCAATAACAATAAAAACAGCATGGTACTGGCACAAAAACGGACATGAAGACCAGTGGAACAGAATAGAGGACCCAGATATGAAGCCACACAACTATAACCAACTTGTCTTTGACAAAGGAGCTAAAAATATATGATGGAGAAATAGCAGCCTCTTCAACAAACTGCTGGGAAAACTGGTTAGCAGTCTGCAAAAAACTGAAACTAGATCCATGTATATCACCCTATACCAATATTAACTCAAAATGGATCAAGGATCTTAATATCAGACCCCAAACTCTAAAGTTGATACAGGAAAGAGTAGGAAATACTCTGGAGTTAGTAGGTATAGGTAAGAACTTTCTCAATGAAACCCCAGCAGCACAGCAACTAAGAGATAGCATAGATAAATGGGACCTCATAAAACTAAAAAGCTTCTGTTCATCAAAAGAAATGGTCTCTAAACTGAAGAGAACACCCACAGAGTGGGAGAAAATATTTGCCAGCTATACATCAGACAAAGGACTGATAACCAGAATATATAGGGAACTTAAAAAACTAAATTCTCCCAAAACTAATGAACCAATAAAGAAATGGGCAAGTGAACTAAACAGAACTTTCTCAAAAGAAGAAATTCAAATGGCCAAAAAACACATGAAAAAATGCTCACCATCTCTAGCAATAAAGGAAATGCAAATTAAAACCACACTAAGATTCCACCTCACCCCTGTTAGAATAGCCATCATCAGCAACACCACCAACAACAGGTGTTGGTGAGGATGCGGGGGAAAAAGGAACCTGCTCACACTGTTGGTGGGAATGTAAACTAGTACAACCACTCTGGAAAACACTTTGGAGGCTACTTAAAAAGCTAAACATTGATCTACCATATGATCCAGCAATACCACTCTTGGGGATATACCCAAAAGAATGTGACATAGATTACTCCAGAGGCACCTGCACACCCATGTTTATTGCAGCACTATTCACAATAGCCAAGTTATGGAAATAGCCAAGATGCTCCACTACTGAGGAATGGATCAAGAAAATGTGGTATTTATATACAATGGAATTTTATGCAGCCATGAAGAAGAACGAAATGTTATCATTCACTGGTAAATGGATGGAATTGGAGAACATCATTCTGAGTAAGTTTAGTCTGGCCCAAAACACCAAAAATCGTATGATCTCCCTCACATGCGGACATTAGATCAAGGGCAAACACAACACATGATAAAGCGAGAGCACAGAAGGGAGGTATGAAGACAGGGAAGACACCTAAAAAACTAGAAAGCATTTGTTGCCCTCAATGCAGAAAAGTAAAGCAGATACCTTAAAAGCAACTGAGGGCAATTGGAGAAATGCACCAGGAACTAGAGAAAAGGTTAGATTAAGAAGATTAACCTAGAAGGTAACACACATGCAGAGGAAATCAATGTGAGTCAACTCCCTGTATAGCTATCCTTATTTCAATTAGCAAAATCCCTTGGTCCTTCCTATTATTGCTTATACTCTCTCTTCAACAAAAGTAGAGATAAGGGCAAAATAGTTTCTGCTGGGTATGGAGGAGGTGGGAGGGAGTGGGGGAAGGAGGGAGAAATGACCCAAATATTGTACGCACATAATAATAATAATAATAATAATAATAATAAACATATGAGATATGTCTAGGATCCAAGAGTGAGGATTTTCTAGCAAAGCTGGAAGGTTCCTGAAAATCATATCAATCTCTAAAGTCTTTTTTGAATAATGAAAAATAATAAGGGAAGGTTTTTTTTTTTTATGCCAAGTAATCCATCAACAAGTATACATGGATCATCACTTCACCTGTTGATGATCTTTGTAATCTCACTCCTAAGAGTTTTGATCAGTCTATTTTTTTTTTTTAGAATTGTTATATCCAATAGGATACAGGACAACAAAAAAATAAAAAATCAATTAAAATACAATTACCAATATGGTGTACCAATGAAAGACTTCCGTTTGGCGATTGTAGCTGTTATCTGTGCAGATACTCCAAAATCAGCTATTTTAAAAAAACAAAAAACAAACAAAGAAAAATGATACACTCAGCAAAAAGTGAAAATAAAACTGTTTATGGTAACATGAGAAGAAACTCTTAGAAATTATTTTTATTAAGCTAGTATCACCGAAGTATGAGATATTCTCAAATACCACATTAAAAATCTTAAGTTTGGTGGATTAGTATTAAAATATCAGAGTGGTCAGTGTGATCATGGTCAGTCAGATTTCCATATCTATCCATATGAATCAAATAACAAAGATCACGGTCAAACAACTGTAATGAGAGACAGCAGAGAAATCTAAATTGTCAGATTTCCTCAGACCCATGATGGCATGAAATAGACTAGTAGTACACGAGTGACTCCATCTAACTTGACGACCCCAAACACAAATTTACAAAATCTTACCTTGGCAGTAGATTTTAACACCAACATCAATTACTACTAGGAATGTGCTACTGCTCCTGAAGATAAGCATGCTGAGCTCTAATATTTTCTAGTGTACTTAGTAATCCTGACACTGACACAAAATACTAAACCACTATTAGAAACCACCAAGTCATCAACAGGTAACTGAGAAGAATGGGGCTTATCTTTTCCACTTTACTCATATTTACCAATCACTAGGAAAGATTTAGTATATGTTAATTAGCAAATAAGTATTTTTAATACGATTAGTTCTATAGTATCTTTAACTTTTATTTTTGTAGCTGAGGATCGAATCCAGGGACTTACACATGCTAGGTAAGAGTTCTAACACTGAGTCGATACCCCTAGCCCTACTGATATTTTTGTTTAAAAAAAAAAAACATAGTTTGAATTTTGACTTAGTTCAAAATTATTTTTTCATATTTGTCATTGCATACATATTTGTTACCACTTAATATCTAATAGAGATCACTTTCTTTATATGTAAAATTACCATATTGAACATTTTTCCTGTCTTAAACTTTAAAATTAAGTTATTATTTAGGTTTTGAACTGTATTTTAATCATAACTTGAACCAAAAGTTACATAATGAAATATAAGTTACCATTTGAAATAAAGCAACATTTAGCATCTAAATTATATTCTTATATAAGTAATACTGTATTTATTTTTAAAGTTCAAGTAAAGAATACAGAATTTTTAGAATTTTGAATTTTTTATTTTGTCTTGTTTTTTGGTTCCAAATTTGTACATATTTCTTACTAGAATTCACATTCCTGATTTAGAGGTGAAAGAATTGTCAAAGGATATTATTTGAGGTAACATGCCCTGCAATTAGACTTCCATCTAAAAATACATAGATGCTGTCCTGGAGAGGGGGAAATCTATTCCTACAAAATAAAACAAATGAAAAAACCAGAAACATAAACTCAGCTATGTTTTGAATAGACTTGTGCATGTGACAGAAATCAAATTTACTTACCCAACTTCACATGGCCATTATCCGTTAACAGAATGTTAGCTCCCTTCAAAGTGAGAACATTTGAGTTAAACAGGAAACAGCCATTTTATCAAACAGGACATGTAATTGATCAAACACACATACTTAAAATAATCACAGCCATAGATCTAGAGATACTTAAAATTTAAAATACAGTCAAAATGTTCAATTATTATATTCATAGGAAAATTTACTATCAATTTTAGGTAATTTGACTATTCTTATATAAATGTACTGTCTTTAAAAAGCCATTAAAGTAGTATGAATGTTAACATAAAAGTGATGTTGTTATCTAAATGATATTTTGTTCCTGATAACACATCCTCACTACACTAAAATATTACCTTACCATGATATTTTCAATTGCTTGCATTATACTTTAAACTTGATTGCTATTTTCTGTTAAAACAAAAACAAAGAAACAAAGAAACAAACAAAAACCTCCCTCTGTAGGAACTTACTATCATTGAACAAGTGCTGTTGTGATTACCCTGCTGCTTGGTAGGTGAGGCTGTCTATCCTAATAGCCCTCCTAAGACTTTAGGGTCATCCAATATATAAAAACTAGCCACAAACCCACAGAATTAAAGTGTCACTCATCTGCATGCTTTGGTAGCATTTAACCACTTTTGCTTCTTGACTCAAAGTCAAGAAAGGATTAAAGGATTTCCCTCTTCTTTTCTGTAACTCTTAAATGAACAAACCAAAGTTGGTAGCTCTTTAATCCAAGGTGCTGTCAATGACTAAGCATAGGCTTGGGGGCAAAACAAATACTCCCCCCTCAAATCAGCAAGAGGAAGAAACAACAGAAGACTAGAGGAGAAAAAAGAAGAGGGAGATTTCCAGATTCCCAATGTTACCAGTGAAGGTGAGCTGCACCTACTGATACTATTTCAACTCCAAGGAATAATGGGGGAGGGAAGAAACGGGAAAGAGGAGTGTAGGGCAGGGATTTTAACTTATCTGTATCTAGCTATTGAGATTTCTGCCAGAGTCCTCAGATTGGCCTCTCCATAGCTCCAGATTAATTTCCCTAAATTGCAGCTTATACTATACCACATGTACATCATAGCCTTTGACCCTTCCTTTCTTCCATCCATACCTCTTTTCTTGTGAGACAACTAACAGCCAGATGCTATTATAAGTTCTGAGCTTCTATAATGAGTAAGTTCCAGTTCTTATGGGAGAAAAAGTAAATAAAAAAATGAATCTATGTAACTGTGAATGAATGTACCAAATGATTCAAAGTCAGGCACAGACAGACACTCAGAAAGAAGGGGAAGAAAGGCCTCTGTAAGGCAGTGAGTGATATCTAAGCAGAGATCTCAATGTGTAAGGGTACAAAGCCATACCCAAATCTGGAACAAGAACATTCCAGGAAAAGAGAACAGCAAACACAAAGATCAAGAGCCAGATGAGCTCAACAGCATCCAAGAACAGCAAGTTTACTGTGATAGAACAGAAAGAGTAAAACTGAGAGGAATGGACTGTGAGATGAGGTCAGAGAAATGCATGGGTCAAATCATTATTTTGGGGACCACTGTAAAACCATTTGGACTTTATACTGAGTATGGTAGCAAACCAATGGTGATTTATAAGCAGAAAAGTGAGAAAACTTGATTTTAAGGTTACTTTCATTGCCAAATGGCAAATGATTATATGACCACTCAAGAATGGGAACACAGAAACTAGTTAGAAGACTACTATGTAAGTCTAGGAGGGAGTTAATACAATGATGACTTAGACAAGGGTGGAGTCAGTAGTGATGGTCAGAATTTACTCAAACTCTAAAGTCTGGCACAGTCTTTGCATAATGGAGCACCAAACTACCTAGCCAACCTCATTTCCTATTAATCTCATTCTCTCTTCTCATTAATAAACAGATTTTGTTATGTTCTCTAAAGTGGTCACAAACTTTCTAGTCTCTGTATTTTTGTTCATACTATTCTTTCTGCTTGGAATGCATGCCATTCATGCAAAAATCTATTAGTCCTTCCAGATCATCTAAGCAGCAGTAACATGGAGCCTTTCTCAATTTATTTGTCTTCATATAATCTCTTTCACCTTTGAACTCCAAAACTCTTGCTTGTGTCTTTTAAGTGACTTATGAAAAATACCTGAAGAATGGGATCTCAGCAGGGGATCTGTGAGTCCACTGAAATTTCAAGGAACATTTGAGAGTACAGGTATACGGACATTTCCAGTCTATAGCATTCATCAAGATTCAAAAAGCAACATGATTCACCCCATTTCCAAAAAAGGTTAAGAAAGTTTCTGCTAGAGAAAACAAAAAGAGGAAAAAGAAGTAGGAGGAAGGATGAACAAAAGGAAGAAGGGACAAGGAAAATAAATGAAAAGAGGAAATACCTAGACTGTGGAGATAATACTATCTTTAGAAATATCCTCAGGAGTCCTGTCACTGCATTTAATTTACCACTGAGCAACCCCAGTATGTCCAGAGCACCGGCTCTCTTCCAGTGGAAAGAAAGACCATTAGAAAATGTCAAGGTTTAACTCATCCATCTTGATACATTACTAGTGATAGTTCCTTAAGACTGACAAAGAATACTAGAATAATCAAAGCATGAAACTTACTAAAAACAGTAATTTGATGGAAACAATGGTCATAATCTGTATTTTACAAATAATTATAAATAAGCTAAAAGAGCTATTAAAACATTAATACACTGAATTACACATTTTAAAGAGATAAATCTTAACATATGTGAATTGCATCTCAACAAAGCTACTATAAAAATTAAATTCTTCATAGTATCAATTATAGCAATGTTATATTTCAGAAAACAAATTTATCAAGAATAATCAAAACAATTTTGCTCAACAATTTGATCAGAGTATTAAAAAGGAAGAGTGAGTGATTAGTTAAAAATATAATATATACCTTTATATCTCTGTGCATTTTTCCTTTACTGTGAAGATAATATAATCCCTGGAGTTTCAAAAGACAGAAAAATAATTAAGATTTTATTACAGAGTACAATTTGGGATTTTAAGTGATTAACTGAGTAGCAGTCTATATTTTATTTACTCCTTATAAACAGTCTAGTAGTAATCATTAACTTATTTTTAATGAAATATCCTAGAAGACAACGATCAAGGAAATGAGGGGATAGGAGCATGACTGAAGTGGTAGAGCACGAGCCTAGCAATCCATGAGGCCTTGGGTCAATCCATGTTAACACAAGAAAAAAAAATTTTTAAAGAAGAAGAAATAGAAAATGAGTAAGTTAAATAAAGATCTGTTGGAACCAGTAAACTGCAAATAGCTGGAAGTAACTTTTTTAAAGTGTATATTCAAATAGAGTCAGGAAGAATTTCAATTCTCATGACAGTGCTTAAGGTAAGCCCTTCTTTGCTACTGAAAGGAAGTGTTTGAATTTTTGGTTATATCATCACATTGAGACTTTAAACAGTATTTATTTGTAAATATAATTCAAGTTTATCACACAATTAAAAATGTATTAAAGGTCTTCAAGAATTTACCAAACTAAGCTGGTGCTGGTAACTCACACCTGTAATCATAGCTACTTGGGAGACTGAATTAGGAGGATCACAGTTAGAGACCAGCCTGAACAAAAAGTTAATCTCAACCAATAGTTTGGTATGGTGGCACATGCCTGTCTTCCCAAGCAAGATATGTGGGGAGACTGAGATGAAGAGGATTAGGTTCAAGGCAGCTTGAGAAAAAAAATTTACCAAACCCCATCTCAAAAGAAAAAGAGTAGGCAGAGTGATGCATACTTGTCATCTCAGCTATGGGGGAAGCCTAAAACAGGAGGATCACAGTGCAGGCTGGCCTGGGCAAAAAGCAAAACCCTATCTCCAAACAACCACAGCTGAGCTGGTGGAGCAGCCCACATGGTAGAGTTCCTGTCTAGCAAGCATGAAGCCCTGAGTTCAAACCCCAGTACCACCACCACCACCAAAAAAAAAAAATCCAAGCACAGCAAAAAGGTCTGAAGAGTAGCTCAAGCAGTCAAGTATCTGCCTTGTGAGTACGAAGTCCTGAGTTCAAACCCCAGCACCTTTCCTACCTTCCAAAAAAGTTTACGAAATTAGACTATTTCATCCTTACTTTAATAGACAATACGACTTTTTAATTAGCATGTGATTTACCTGTAGTGTTTCTCTGCTAACATATGCAATTTGCAGTTCTGAGAGAGGTCCAGTTACTATAAGAGAAGAAAATTAGTATTAATGAGATTAACTAATGCATACTTTTCAATAAGTGACAATGATTTACAAATTCCACTAAGCAACAGTCTTAATATACCTAGCCAATTTTACTAGAGTGCAAGCTCCGCAAAGCAGACCTTTATTTTCACTTTAGTCTTGCTTTGCTCGTTGTTGGCTCTCCAATGTTTAGAATAGCGCTTGGCACAGAAAAGCAGTTCAATGTTTGTGGAATCACTGTTTAAGAATCATTGCAATCAGCTGTGAGTTTTTCTACACCGACTGATCCAGCATCACCTCCTGAACATTAAAAGAATGCCCAAGAGGGTTAGCAGGTGTTATCAAAGCTTTTTACTGATGTGTGACATGTTTACGGCTAGCTTTAAATCAACATTTTCCCCACAAACATTAGTTTTGTAGTTATAAAATTAATGTATGTTCACTATAAAAATTCTAATCAATAGAGAAGTTTGGAAAGTAGAAGTCTCTTCTTTATCTAAAATATTGCTCATAATGAGCAACATCAGTAGTTTGGTCTATACCAGATGATTTTATTCAGACACATTTCATATAATATATACATGATCCTCAACTTACAATGGGGTTAGGTTCTGGTAAACTCATTGTAAGTTAAAAAACCTAAGTCAAAAATGCATTTAATACACCAAATTTATTGAACACCTCAGCTTAACAACACAGTACACGTGGAGAACTGGTGGCTTATCCTTGTGACTGTGTGGCTGACTGGGAGCTGTAGGCACCAAAGTGAGAGTGTATAGTATAGGACATCACTAGCCTGGAAAGGGGTGAAATTAACAATTTGACGTATAGCTTCTACTGAATGTGTATAGCCTTCATACCACTGTAAAATTAAAACACTGTAAGTTGAGCTATCATTTGTACTTGTGTGTAGTACACATACATATACAGGAGCAAAAATGGAATCATATTACACACTATTCTAAAACCAGACATTTCACTTATCATGGACATCTTCCCACATCCACATTCATGGCTTAGTTTTAGAATATTTGCAGAATATTCCTATGTGTGCATCTGCTACAGTCTGCAGATGTGTCCTTCCAAAAGTTATGATGAGACTTGATCTTCAATGTGACAGGTATTCAGAGGTGAGGCCCTGCCTAGGTCATGAGGCTCCTTCCTTATAAATGAGATTAAAACCAAACTTCCATTCCTTTTTGCTTTCCCTCTTCCACTAGGCAAGGATGCCTAGATGGTACTATCTGCAGGAGTGAGCCTTTGCTAGACACTGAGACTGCTGGCACCTGGACATTGGACTTCTAAGCCTCCAGGACTATGAAAAATAAATTTCTGATGCTCATAAATTACCCAGTCTCAAGAATTCTGTTATAGCAGGATAAACAGACTAAGCATCTCTCCACTATGGAAGACATTTAAATAGCTTTCTCCTTTTTTGCTATTAAGTCACTTTAGAATATAGAAACACATTAGGTGAGAAAGGCTATCCTAGAAACTGAATTAAATTCAATGATGGAATACATTATGAACTTACATTTACCCATACTTAACTGCTTTATGTTTCATTTATTGTGGAATTTACAATTATGGGAGAGAAAGAAAGACCTATCTATTTTACTTAGATTCTTTTTTTTTAAGTGGGACTGGGGTTTGAACTTAGGGATTCATGTTTTTGCAAAGCAGGCATGCTACTGCTTGAGCTACATCCTATAGTCCATTTTGCTCTGGTTATTCTGGAAACAGGGTCTTGCTTTTTGCCCAGGCAAGGCTGGACCTGAATCCTCCTATTTTTAGGCTTCCTGCCAATACTGGGAGGATAGGTACACACCATCACACCCAGGGCTTTTTCACACCAAGCTTTTTTCCATTGAGATGGGGTGTCAACACACTTTTTTGTCAGGGCTGGCATGGAATAGCAATCCTCCTGATCTCAGCCTCTCCAGTTGCTTGGGATGACAGGTGTATACCACTGCACCTAGTTCCTGGTTGAGATGAGATTTGCTAACTTCTTGCCCAGGCTGGCCTTGAATCTCAATCCTCCTGATCTCAGACACTCAAGCAAGGATGTGAGCCACTGGTGCCCAACTACTTAAGATTCTTTTGAGAACAGGGGTAGGTTTAAATGTCAGAAAGTAAATCATATAATTCATTTCTATAGTTTCTAAATCCACTCTCATTCAGTAAAGGATCTCCTTGAGATTTCTGCTTCTACAATATGACCAATAAGATAACTTGATGTAATCCCAGCTACAAGGAATGCCAAAGTTGGCCTGGGCAAAAACACAAGTTCCTATGTGAAAAATAACTGAAGCAAAAAGGGTTGGAGTGTGGCTCAAGTGATAGAGCACTTGTGTAGTGAGAAAAAGGCTCTGAGTCTAAACCTCAGCATCACCAAAAAATCAAAACTAAACAAAAAGCCAGGTGCTGGTGGCTCACACCTGTAATCCTAGTTACTTGGGAGTCAGAGATCAGGAGGATTAGTTCAAGGTCGGCTGTAGCAAATAGTTCAAGAGACCCCCATCTCCAAAATAACCAGAACAAAATGGATGGGAGATATGGCTCAAGTGGTAGAGTGCCTGCTTTGCAAATGTGAAGCCCTGAGTTTAAACCCAGTCCTACCAAAACAAAAACAAAACCCTAAAACAAACAAAAAATCCCTGATAAACAAAAACAAAAAACTTTTAAAGGCCTTCTTAAGCTTACCAAAACAGAAGCTCAGTCCTGTACCGGCCAGGCCAGGCTCTATGCTGAGTTACACACCCAGACCTTCTATGTAGAAAAAGAACTCACCATAAATGACAGGACAGAATGTGGAAAGCTGCCAAAGCACAGAATCAGACAGAAAACCCCAGTGGGAAACAGAAGGAAAATGTATCATGTTGGCATAATAAAAAGTTCTAATGTTAATTCTTTAAAGAAAAAAATAAATAGAAGAGAGAAAAAGAAGAGGAGAAGGAACTTACAGAAAAAAAAAACTCACGTTATGTCCCCTGCCATAGTACCTGAAAATATCTCCACAAGTTCTCTGACTCTTCCCCTCAAGAGATGGGACTTAATTTTCTTTGGGAGAGTGGCCTACTTGCTTCCAAAGAACAGATCATGGCAGAAGTGACAGTAAGCAGCTTCTGAGAGACCACATCATAAAAGGCTTCAATTCCCTCCTTGCTGTCTTTGGAATCACTGCTCTGGGGGACATCAGGTACCATGCAGGAAGACACTCAAGATGTCCTCTGGAGAGATCTACAAGGTGAGTAACCCCCTGTCAACAGTCATCAGGGACAGAAGCCTCTGGTGTTGGCCATGAAAGGAGAGCATCTTGAAAGTCAATTCTCTAGCCCTAGTCAACCTCATGAGGACCCATGATTTAAAATTACCCCACTAAGCCATTCTTGAATCCTGACCCACAGAAACTGTGAACAAATGTAACACAGAGCTAACTGATATTCCAGGAGAGCTAAGACTGGGGAAGAAATGAAGAGATGACAACTGATAACTGGCAGTTCTGATGAAAGAGCTAAGCTGCCAGGGGTAAGCACACTAAATCCCAAGCAGGAAAAGTGAAAATAAAACCACACTTAGATACTAGAAACACTACAAAAGAACAGAAAAAATCAAGAGCTGTCAGAGGAGAGAGGATTCCTGCAAAAGGGTCAATAATTGGTCTGACAAAGGTTCTAGTGTCTATAAAAGCTAGATAATGATGACTAAAATCCTAGTGTTGAAACAAAATACTTGTCAACTGGAAAATATGTCTATGCCCCCTTAAACAATCAACTAAGAGTAAGAGGCAAACTTAGGAAAAAGGAAATTTAATCAGTGAGTGAGGGAAACAACAGTAGAGGAAATTAATTAGAACAAAAAATGGAGAACAGCTTTCTGAATTTATGGTATATAGGAATTACAATCCCACTATTACATCAGCCTTTATGTTAAATAAAATCAATGCCAAGAAGAGACAGTGAAGTTAAGCAAAACAACAGTAAAACTGTATCTAAAAGGTCCTTAACCCTCAAGTTACTTAAGAGACCTTACACCACAAAATTGAGTCCAAATTCTGTCTGAAAAAAATTCCAAAATATTTTCTTAGAAAATAACCTGTTTTGCTGTTATTATTTCAAGACATGGACTCCCTCTGTAGCCCAGGCTGGTCTTGAATTTGAGATGATCTGCCTCCTACCTACTGGGATTACAGGTGTATACCACTATAATTGGCTGAAAACTGACTTCTTAAATTACTACTAAGACATTCTTTTACATTAATCAAAAAGAACACCTCAAGAAAAAGAATAAGCCTACTCTTTAGTCTGTGACAATAATCCACTGACAGAACCAAGGTAGAAAAGGGACAGAATGATAGTAAACACTGTTTATTTTACCTTATAAGTCTCCCTTACATGCCATTGAATCCTAACAAGAAGTGGTTTAACCATTTTCAAATTCCCCAGATCTTAGCACTAACAGAATTAACACTTAATTGATGCTACTTGAATAGATGAGAATAAAATCAATTATCTTTGTGTTATCACTACTGATGTACCAACTGGGTTTCTATTGACCTAGTATGTACCACCAGGTTTTTCCATTTCTCAAGGCGGAGTTGATTTTGAACTGTGACGTGCTTCTTCAGAATTTGCAAATAACCCAATTTATAAAGCAAATGCTCCATCCGTGAATGTCTATCTTAAATAATTTTATGTATCCAAATAGCATGATGATAAAACACAACTTTCTTTCCTTAAAGCAATGTTAATGTTAGAATATAGTAAAATAGCTATATTTTAGGAAATTCCACTTAATCCTTGTAAAAATGTAACTTTGGTCTTACCGTGATATATATCCTGTAAAGAACCACCTCCACAGAACTCCATGCAAATCCAAAGTTTATCTCGCCTATAAAGAAAAAATATGCATGTGTCATAGCTTCATAATTAAAACTGCCTGTTTATGGTAAAAAGTATCTTAAGGTTATGTGGTATAACCTAGAAAAACCACACAAATGTAGTATCTATCTTTAAAAAAAAAGCTAAATGACTAAATGACTAATATGATGCATTGGTATAATTCAACTGAAGGTTTTAATACTTAAACCACACCTTTATAGAATATTAAGTTGTCATCAGGAATATCCAAATAATGAGATTTCCCTTTATTTAAGAACTTCCTCTCCCCCACAGCTTATCCATCTATTCAGATTCACCACAGAAAATGACAATACATTCCAAAGTGCTATCACTTTGATAGCACTCACATCAGCAGATAAGATGTAAATGTTAGTCCAATATGTAACGTCAACAATATTCTTCCCAAAATAATGTTATAATTGGTCATTTGTTTTTAGACAGCATTTCTCTCTCACACTCACAATCTAAGATATCATAACCATATTAACATGAGAAATAATTAGCAAAAATGTATATAGCTTATTCCTTGTACAAACATTCATTTCTCCCTTAAAATGTGTCAGAAAATGTACCATTCTCATGGTCAGGGATGGAACAGGAAGTCTCTGAACTCAGCAAGTTTAATCTAATGCAACAGAAAGCTTCTGCTTTACTGATTTATCTGCCTTACCACTGCATTCAAGATGCCTAGAATATCTAGCTAATGAATAACTGTTCCATAAGTGAATGAGTGAAAGAATAAACAAATCCATTAGAGCAGGGGTCAGCAGATAGGCCAGTGAACCAAATATGATCTGATGCCTGATTCTGTACAGCCCTGGAACAACAAATGGTTTTTATACTTTTAAGTGGGTGGATAACAATCAAAAGAAGACTATTTCTTGACATGTGACAATTATAGGAAATTCAAATTCTAGTTTTATTAGAACACAGTTATACTCATTCTCTTATGTACTGTCTAGGCTGTTTCTCACCAAGACAGCAGGGTTCAGTAGTTGTGACAGACATCACATAGCCCACAGAACTTATATTTACTAAATAGCTCTTGATAAACAAGTATCACATGTTTTCTCTTATATGCATAAACTAATACAGGACAAAATGTAGAAGAGGGACTATTAAAGAAGGGAAAGGAAAGAGAAGGGGAAACAAAGGGAGAGGAAGAGGCTAGAAGAGAGAGTGGACATGATCAAAGCACAATATATGAATGCATAGAAATGTCACAGAGAAACCCAATAATTTGTACAATTAAAATTAGGAGTACCTTATAAATTAAAAAAAAGAAAAAAGTCTGCTGAATTTTGGATTAGATTATAATTTGATTAATGTGTAATCCAGGTATGTATAAAGTGTTATGAGAACTCAAAGATGAAAATACCTAGGAAAATCAAGAGAAGATTTTGGGAGGAGGTAACATTTCAATTGGGTCTTGCAGTTAAAAGTAGAGAGATAGGGAAGGGACCCAACCAAAAGAATGGAAACATGAAAGGGGCCACATTTGAGAGATTGGGCAATAAATCATATGGTTGAAAAAAGACTGTCTGAAGAGGCAATGGCCAGAAATGAAGCTAGAATTGGCTGGGGTCATGTGGCCAAACAATACTTGGTTTGTAGACTATGTATAGTTACCTTCACCTGGGTGGTCTCTACGTTGGTGAATATCTCTTTTAAAATGTGGCACCCAGAATCAAGTACTATTCTGAGTGTTACATGAAATGCATGGAAAAGTAGAACTGCTGGTGCCATCAGTGGGTCAGAACAGATACGGTGGTAGTGGGTGGACTAGCCAGTCCTAAGAGTTGACATTACTTGGCTGGGTGTGGTGGACCAGGCAGCATACAGCAAGGGAAACAATCTATCAGAGTGTGAAGGTCAGCTAACTTAAGAGAATGCTGTAGCAAGGTACCACAGTTCCAAGAGAGTAGAAACACAAAGAAAGAAATCTGAAGCCACTTAAGATCTGTAATTCACAGGTAGATCACATACCAATGAAACTGAGGTGTAACGTTGTGATTTCTATTATGGTTAGCTATCAACATATAGTGCACACATAATGAGAGTCCGATGTCCAGTGGCCGGGTTTTTAAGAATTCTCATAATGAATGTCTGGGGCTGGCAGATGTGTGTCAAAATGTGGATGGCACTTCTGACTAGTAACTGCTACACTAAGGCATTTAAATGCCCCAGAAAATCTAACAATTATCTTTATTTAAACACTGTATTTCTATTAACATTCTCTTAATTCCTCCTCTCCCTGGCCCTTTTTCACTTCCCCAATAGTTCCCCTTCTACTTTCTTGTCTTTTTTTCTACATTCCACATGAGAGAAAACATGCACTATTTGTCTGAGTCTGACTAATTCCTTTTAACATGATGATCTTTAGTTCTAGCTATTTTCCTGCAAATGGCATGATCTTATTCTTTTATGGGAGAATAATACTGTTGTGTAAACAGACCACATTAGCTTTATCCATTCATCAGTTGACAAACACCTGGGCTGATTCCCCATCTTGGCATTTGTAAATAGGACTTTGATAAACATGTGTGTGCAGGTATCTCTACTGTATGCTGACTCTGAATCCTTCTGATACATACTCAGGAGTGGTATGGTGGATCACACAGTAGCTGTATTTTTAATTTTTAAGGAACCTAAATACTGATTTCTCTAATGGCTAATTTACATCCCCACCAACAATGGGCTCTTTCTACTCTCTTCACTATCCTCTCCAATGTTTGTTTTTTGTTTTCTTGATGACAGCCATTCTGATCAGCGAGAATGTATCTCAACATAGTGGTTTTTTTTTTTTTTTTTGGTGGCACTGGGGTTTGAACTCAGGGCTACACCTTGAGCCACTCCACCAGTCCTTTTTTGTGATGGGTTTTTACAAGATAGGGTCTCATGAATTATTTGCCTGGGTTGGCTCGAACCATGATCCTCCTGATCGCTGCCTCCTGAGTAGCTAGGATTATAGGTGTGAGCCACCGGTGCTGGCTCAACATAGTTTTGATTTGCATTTCCCTGATGAGCAAAGATGTTGAACATTTTTCATGTACTTATTGGTCATTTGTACTTCTTTTTCAGTTCACTTGCCCATTTATTGATTGGATTACTTGTTCTTTTGGTGTTTGGATTTTAAAATTCTTTATATAATCCGGATATTAATCCTCTGTCAGATGAATAGCCGGCAAAGATTTTTTTCCATTCTATAGGCTGTGTCTTCTCTTTTGCTACAATTTACCATATAGTATTTTTATGTAAATCATCTTAAATAGTTCCAGGAATTTAATGAAGATATAAATAAATAAATAAAACTTATCTTTTTCTTTTTTCAGAATAAAAAATAAAAGAACAGGACTGATTTGGCATGACTTCACTAAAGTCACGCTAATTACCACTTCTTTCTTACAAGTGCTCACTAATTACCTGACTCAAGAATTATCCTAGATGTTTGCTGGGGACTGATAACTGTCATCAAGTTGATAGGCTGTTTTTTCTAGAAATCACCTTTCCCATTCTTTGTCAACTAGTCACTGCTGACCTATAATCATTTATGCCTCTTCCATGTGTCAAAAGATATTCACAGACAGAGGATGACAACCATAGTTGCTAAATTTTCTGTATGAGATATAATTATATAATCTAAAAGCTTAAATGAATTTAAAAGGTCTGCTGCCCTATAATTATCTATTTAGCTACCTGTGCTTCAATTTTATCTTAATATTGCATTCCCTACCCTTTCCAGTTTGAAAACAATTCTCTTTGGTAGAGAAAATGCACATAGGAAATGATGTCCTGCTGTGTTACATACTTCGCTATTACATTGTCTTTCACTTGATATTAATTTTTGCCCTTTCTCCCCTTGCTTGAATACACAATCTCCAGCTTATACAGTTAGAAAAAAATCAGAAATATGTATGTATACTTTATTTTTTAAGATGCCTAAAATATTGTACTTTTACAACATTCTATTTAAAGTCTGATATTACCAAAAATACTTTAGTCAGAATTTATTAGAAAAACTAGTTCATCTGTTCACGAATGTCTATTCATGTTGATAAGTCTGCACTTGTGTGAGGTCATTCAAGCCATCTAACAGGAAAGAGCTTGAGTCAATTGCCCATTTTATGCAGCTCAACGAAGTACAAAATTTTTGTAGCTATGTATCTGGTTTAGAATAACCACTCGCGTCAATGTTCAGTGTGTCAGCACTACATTATGCCCACCTTCATTGTGGATTTATTGCATGTGGTTTTGACCAAGTGTGGTCAAATAAGCTAATAAATCAAAAGAAATTTTAAAAGCAAAAATTTTCAATTCTGTGTTCACATTACACACCTCAGTTGATGCAAAGAAGCTGTCAGTCCCATGTTATCATCAGTTGTGTTTAAATCCTTATGTGATTTATTGTTTCCCTGACCTTAATTTTGTGAAAATCTACCTCCCAAAAAGCAAATGGTGTCCCAACAACAAGGTAAACATGAATGTGCTTAACTGAAGTAATAAAGTGAAAATTTTAGGTTAGTGGGAAGGTGACCTGTCTTTAGCAGAAGTCGAGCAGCTTTATGTGAAAAATGAACCAAGCATTCACTGTGCAGTGCTGTGCTACGTGTATCCTGAGCATGTGTGGTTTTTCAACAATGCCGGTCTCCTTGGAACCATGTAGCCACAGATACCAAGGGTCTACTATAATCTCTTGACTCAACAAATCCTCAGAATTCTTTCCTCTTATTTTGTAAAATTGTCTTTTTCTTTCTTTTTTTTTTTTTTTTTGATGGTACTGGGGCTTGTACTCAGGGCTTTACACTTGCAGGTACTCTACAGTTTGAGACACACCTCCAGGCCTGTAAAATTACCATTCTATTTTATGAAGAAGAGAAAAATAAGTGTGTGGATGGGGCAGAGGGAGTTCACTACTTAATCGTACAGTTGGGTATTTACTAGAGCATACTGGGACCAAAATTCGAATCCTTACTTCATTAATCAGGAAGT